TCATGGTTTGTCCAACAGCCATAAAATTAATTAATCGATATTTATAAACTTAAAACTGCTCAATAATAGTCTGAAAAATTGTAATTTCCAATATCATTTTATTTTTACATTTCTTTAAATTAGAATGTTTACAATCATAATTTATGAAAAATAGATATGCTAAACAAAATAAATTTATATTTAATAATACAAGAATTAAAGAATGATCTATAGATTAATTTTAGGTATGTTTTGATTTTCTAATAATTACCATATGATCGAGAAAAAAACAACGTTAGAGTTGGCTGGGAAATGAAGATTGTTATCAAGTTATATGTAAAATTATATGGGAAATATAATCATCATACAGTCTATAAAACTATAGAAAATTTCCTAATTGTAATATATTTGATATATATAGAAGAACACGTTAGAAAGGTATATTTAAAAGGAATTTAAAGTGCACAATTCAAGTTAAAGGTCCATTCATATACCAACAACAAAAAGCGATGCGGGTTGAATGTCTCATTATTCAATTAGATAGTTTTAAAAAGATTCAATCTCATTTTCAGAGACAGATTTAAATATATTTTCACTATGAGAAAACAGTTCGTTTAATCAACTAAAATAAATATTAACTCATATCCTAATAAACAATCAGCTCTTATACAGAGTGCAAAAAAATAGTGTACCAACTTCATACAAATAAAAATGAAACAAAAAGTTCCTATAAACATTCTTAGGGCAGAAAATAATTACTTGGAAATGGAATTGGGCAGGGCACACTGCAAGATTAAACGATGACCGATGGACGAAGAATATGATAGAATGGAGACAAGACCCGATGCATTCAGGAGCAGAGGCCGTCCTCCAACCAGATGGCATTACCACTTAAGGCGTATCCACAGTAACTGGATGTAAATAGCTCAAGATAGGGAGTTGGAGTTGTCTAGTGTTGTTACTTTATTGGTAAATTCAAGAAATTATGGAATACGTTATGACTGTACAAGGTTCGTTAAAGAAATCAGCAGACGAGGAAAAATACGTTCAAATTTAGTCTTAGTTTTTTTGTACAAAAAGATACCATCTTATTTCTTAAAAATATTATCTGTTAAATGCCGATCATTTTGTTTCTAGCATCAAGCAATCCCTATGCGGCAGTTTTGATGGAAAACTGTAATTGTGACTATCTTTTATTAGTATGAAAAGTTCGTAATGCATTGCTCATAGTCATAAATTTGAACCTTAAGGTACCTCTACCAAATCAATAGAACCACTAAGATCAGGTTATAAGGATTTGGCAAAATGCAAACGTCAGATTTCCCTAAAGGACTATAGTAAACGCCACGAATGTTTGGGAGTAATTCATCGCTTGATGAAGTTAGAATCGACATGCGCGCTATCATTTTTACATTAAAAACGTAAATTTTTACCGCAGACGTGGGTTTTTAAAGGCCCGGTCTAATCATCGGCCTGCGTTCGTCCTACTTATTCTAAAATGTTAGCGTGATTGACAAAGACGATACTATATCGCGTTTCTTTGATTGATTCGTTTTTGTGCGTCAGTCCATTGGTGTGCTTGCAGTGCGACCAATGGGGCATTCCATTTTATATTTATAACCAAATCATAGATAAATGAAACAAGTTTAGATTGGAAAGTGCCCATAAGGACAATGTAAACACTATTTGGCGCTATTCTTGCAACAGTCGCGACCCAAAACTTTTGAAAATTTCGGAGCGGTTCGGCTTTTTCCGGAATTATATCGCCAAATATTGTTTATTCAAATTTATTATTATTTTCGTTTAATTTTATAAATAAAAGACAGTGTGTTGCATACAAGAAACTTTATTTTATATAAGGACGCATGTATGAAATACATATGAAACATTGGAAACCGACGTTATGCCACGATCCACGATGGTTTTTGCAGTTCACAGTTTACAGCACAGCTTTTTAAGTTTTTAATGCCACTTTTTCACAATTATCACCGGTTGGAGTAAATAAAACTTGAATTAAACTCATAAGATAGGAACTATTACTTTGAAAATGGACGCTATAAACACTTTTCGGAATTTTTTTAATGAGAGCGGTTTGGATTTTGAAAGATTATTATGATTTTTGAAGATTCTGACTTTGACAAGAGAAAATTATTTCTGTTTTTGTTTGCCGTTGTTCTTAGCGACCGCTATAGCAGCGCCAGATCGCGTATAACGGTCGCGACCCAAAATAATTTCGCAACCTAAAATTTTTACGGGCTTTCCAATCTAAACTTGTTGCATTTATCTATGAACCAAATATATGTTTTGACAAGACTTTGACAGTTAAAACAACAAATTACAACAGAATATATATTGATTATTATATAACTTGAAACACCACAGCACTGGAATTAAGTTTTATGTGACCTTGAACAGATTAGTTCACATGGTAGCGACCGACGAATCACTCCCAAACATTCGTGGCGTTTACTTTACAAAACTTTTGAACGCAGAAGCAAAACAAAATTTAGTTAAATTAAAATTTAAATTTCGAATGATACAGATCTGGCAGAACTAGAAGCGGAATTATGTCCATGATCTACCCGTCTCTAATCTGTAACCTCAAGCCCTGAAGTTTGGTACACTATTTTTTACACCCTGTATTATTGCTTTTATAATGCGACAGATTGGTTCGCTACCAAAAATTTCGCTTAAAAACAAATAGTTTGGCAGCGAACAGTATATTCTCATGTAAGATTTTATTAGATGTCTCTGTTTCTATGATCAAGGTTATATCGCAAATGTATATTTTTAGCTACCGAGTGACAAAATGTCTATTTCAAATATACAATTTCAGGTTGTTTTTTTTTGCAACTAATACTATAAATTTACATATTTTCACTAGCTTGTATCTCATATTTTGTTTAACGCTGAACTGAATTGTTTATGAAAAAATAAGTTCGTATAAGTTTATGTCCTAATCTGTTTCGTTTCGGAGATACAGGATGTAGCAGTTTCATTTTTATTTCGATTTTTTCCAAATAAGTTATGAACTAAAGTAAATATTTGGATGAAAATTGGTGTCTGATTATTTTTGGACATGAGAAATGTAATTTCAATACATGTAAGGGCACCACTTACATATTTTTGTAATGGTTTGAAAAGAATATATCTTTTAGTCTGTACCTTTATAAAATTATTGAGTCTAAATTATCAATACGTGTCATTAATTGACAAAAAATAAACATGTCGACTAGACAGTTACTTTACTCTTTGAATAAGAAGACTAAGGAAGGAGCATATCAAAAATCTTAGGTACACCGCGATGGGCCTCAAATATGGCCGATTTAAATTCTGGTTTATCAGTGTCGTTCTAATTTTATTTAAAAAATGTAAAACTATGATGTAGGGTAGACGTGGGGTAGACTCAATAATTTGTTGTTTTATTTTACGTTGTGAATAAATGTTCGTAGTTATTAAAATTGTTATAAAAATATATAATTCTAATAAAAATAGATAAGTTATAATAAGTATTTATTAACACAAACATCCGATACGCTACTGAAGCAGGTAAGTCAAATTAACGTATCTAAATTCTTTGACATCTAATCTTTGACAAGTAATAAATAAAAGCTAAAATGCAAGAAAAATATATAATTTAGTTAATTTAAGTGAATTTCATAAATGATCGGTTTACTACACGTATGTATATTATATAGTCACTTACTAGCGAAAAGTTGTTCCATTATTTCACTCAATTTTTGCCGAGATCTACCGCACGCTACACAACCAACTATTTTAGTCTTTTTCGATAAATCGCGATAGTGTCACTGTTAATTTAAGTTCTGCCACAATTTCCATCTAGATTTACTACCTTTATACAACTATCAGTAGTAGAATAAATAATAAATAACATAAAATAAGCTCCGTAAAGACTGACAAATCCACAAAATTTCAAATCAAATTCAAATGTGTCAAATGAATCGTCAAACAGAACTGTCCAACCAAAACCAAACCAAACCATGCATGATAACATGGATAGCATTATGCTCCTTCCTTAGTCTTCTTATTCAAAGACTTTACTGAAAATGATAAATCTGGAAACTTTTTAATATTCGGGAAGCACTGGAGCTAGAGAGTCGATCAAATGGGGAAAAAATTGCAGTTTTGTGAGAATAAACATATGCGGATTTTCGGATTACTGAAATTTTCAGCTATTTTAAAAATGCTCCCTACTTCCATTTTAATCTATTTTAGACAAAAAGTTTTCAGGTAAAAGTTGTAGATAATCACATGCTTAATGAGATTGTGTTTTGATTGTGACCTTATCTTTCTAAAGCCTGTCATTTTTGACATAAACATGATATTTAAATGGAAACCATAGTTGGCCATGTTTTTTTTTTCGAAAAATGACTTGAGTTAGAGCCAATTCTTATCTTTTTTGACTAATTTCACTTAGTTGGTATGGTATTCTTATTCTATTATGATTTATACAAAAACATTATGTTCAATTTTTGTCTATGATGACATGTATTGATTATTTCGATTCCAAATATCTCGAGTACAAGTTTTTTTTACTCGCAGCAATTTTACCAAAAAACCTGTTTTAGGTCAAAAATGGCGCAAATGTATATTTTTTCATTTAGTAGTTTTATACAGGTACGGACGAAAAATTATTACTCTTCAAAGCAGTTAAAAGTATGTAGGTGGTTCCTCCGACAAGTAGGAATCATATGGACATTGAAATCAAATTTCTCATGCCAAAAAACACTTAAACACCAAATATTTACAATAGTTCAAAAATTATTTGAAAAAAAATCGAAACAAAAATGAAACTTCTACACCCTATATCTCCGAAACGAAGCATTTTAGAACATAAATTTATATAAACTTTTTATATACTTTTAAAACTATATAAAAAAATATCAATCGTTTAGGATATTATTTTATAAGTACCAGGTACTGCTATTATTATTACATAAAGGTAAAAGTTAATTGCAAAAAAATTGTTCATAAGTAACGCATATTTCTTCTTCGCTCACCGTAACTAGAACATAACAAACATCCAATTAATCCTAGCACCAACTTATCCATATTGCAATACTTCACAAAAAAAACTTCTCTTTAAGTACCAACGAACTCAAAGTCAAAATTATTTTCCGAAAACTCAACACCACAAAGACCGAATTCGAGAACCGAAAAATAAATTAAAAGTAAAAAAAATACGCGCACGACAAACGCAAAGTTGGTTTGGACCGTTACGCGCGCAAACAAGGACTACGGTGGCTATTTTAAAGTTACGCCAGGCTTGCTATCAAAGTTGGCCATGCATATAGAAGTTTTATACGACCCTTTCCCGCATATGCTACGCGATAGCTCGTTCTCCTTGTCTGTAATTGCGCGTATCAGATAAGAAAAGACATATGTCTTGAGTAAACCGTACTGAATTTTTTTTACTATTTTAGAACTTTTGACAGTTGGACAATTATTGTGGTTTTTCTTAAGACGTGTTAATTGTGGTATTAAGTTTGGCTTTAACACTTTAAATTTGACCGAAAATTTCTCCGTTGCGTTTTTTTGCATCTGAGTGTACAAAAATCTACGAAAAAAATAATACACAAAGCATTAAAAATTTGTAAATTAATATACAGCAGACTCTCGATTATCCGAGCTAATGTGGGCTGTACCCTAGCTCGCATAATACAGGGTGGCGCACCTAATTCACCTCGGTTGATTATACGAAAACGGAAAGATATAGAAACAAAATATTTTATGAGTATATGTGGGGAGGCAATGTGCACAATTTAAAATTATTTTGAAATATACAGGGTGTCTCAGAACTAAGATTCATACCAAAGTTATATGTTCCCGTCATTCCTTCGTGGGACATAGGGCTTCTAAGAGATGTTTCCATCTGATCCTATTCTGAGCTGTCTGTTTGATCTCTCTGTTTTCCCGACCTCTTTTTACCCCGACCGAGGTTACTGTTCTTCTCCAAATATTCCTTGGTCTTCCCCTGGCACGTCTTCCCTGTGGATTCCATTCAAGTGCCTGTCTAGCGATATCTCTGTGGGGTCTGCGCAAAATGTGCCCAATCCAGCCCCACATTCTTTTCTTAATTTCGATATCTATTCGATTTTGTGATGTTCTTCTCCACAGTTCTTCGTTGTTAATTTGATTGGGCCAGAAAATTCTCAATGTTCTTCGAAGACACTTGTTAACAAACACCTGCAGGCGATCCATGAGACCACGCGTAACCTTCCATGTTTCGCATCCATAAAGCAAAATAGATTTGACATTGCTATTGAAGAGCTGGACTTTATTTTTTTTGCTATATATAGAGGAGTTCCACACAGGTGCCAAAAGCAGTTCCACACACATGCCAAAAGCTCTTTGTGCCTTCAAAATCCTTTCCTCTATATCTTTCTCTGTGCCCCCATCGCTGTGAACCATACTTCCCAGGTACTGAAATTCATCAACTCTTTCGATGGCTTGGTTGGAGAGGTATAGATCTGGGTTGTTGGTAGTATTTGACCTCATTTCTTTGGTTTTCGCCACGTTGATTTGAAGACCGACATTATTAGCTTCCTCTTGGAGTCTAAGAAGTTTTTGAGACATATCCGAATGTGAATGGGAAAAGATGCATAGATCGTCTGCGTAATCCAGGTCTTCTAGCCTGCTTAAGAGTCCCCCCTGCTTAAGAGTAGTGGTTCTTTAAATGCTCTATTTAGTGCTACATCCAGAACGATGTTAAAGAGTAGCGGCGAAAGTATACAGCCCTGTTTTACACCTACTGCAATAGAAATTTTCTCCCCCACTTAACCTTTATGTAATACACAGCTTATAGCATCATGATAAAGCATTTTAATCATGCGGATTATTTTTTCGGGTATTCCTTTTTCTCTCAAAGCTTTCCAGATGGCTATGTGTTTTATAGTATCGAATGCTCTTTGAAAATCCACGAACACCATGTATAATGGCGATCTGAACTCTTGAGATTGCTCTATTATTCTGAGAGTATTAATTTGGTCGATACATGATCTTTGAGGTCTACAGCCTGCTTGTTCTTTTCTCAAAGTCGGTTCAAGGGCATCTGATATTCTTTTTTGGATGACTGTAGCAATTATCTTGTTAATGGTGTTAAGTAAGGTAATGCCTCGCCAGTTCTTACACTGGGATAAGTCGCAGTTTTCAGATATTTAAAGACATTTAAATATGCATGCTACAAGAGAATTGATTATCAACACCCTGTACATTACTTTTCAGAGTTAATTCTTGTGCTGAGTTTAAAAGTAAAGAAATAAACTTTACTGAAAAATGTTATTGTTTCCTTAAATTTATACAGGGGTACCAAAAAGTAGTGACCTATTTTACGGATATATTTTACATAAAAACTTTGTTATTTCAAATGCAACACCCTGTATTTTTTTAAATAAATCAAAGCAGATTCAAATGCTCTTTCCAACTATATTAGGGTTTCCTATACATATCTATCTCAGATTTTGAATAAAAAGCGATTTTTAAATAAAATGACAATCAAGATGGCTGGTATCACCATGGCAATTTTCTAGTGACAGTTAGTAACTATTTTTAAAATCGACATTAGTGTATGGACATTATTATTTAAACAGTTTACTAAAATTTACCCACAATAGTTTAATAAGTAAGTATTCTTTATTTTATGATGAAAAATAAAGCCATATCTGCTAGTGGAACGAATGGATATGTTATTAGTGATTTTGTTTTGTGAGGAAAATTATTTCTTGGTCTCAAGAGCTAATGCTCACAGATATCCAAATAGGATCTCTTCCTGGTAAGCGTTCCTGTGAAAAATTACTTGTCCTATTTCCTATTTCGCAGAATTGGTAGTTTAATAGTCACAATAGTTTAATAAGTAAGTATTCTTTATTTTATGAAGGAAAATAAAGCCATATCTGCTAATGGAACGAATGGATATGTTATTAGTGATTTTGTTTTGTGAGGAAAATTATTTCTTGGTCTCAAGAGCTAATGCTCACAGATATCCAAATAGGATCTCTTACTGGTAAGCGTTCCTTTGAAAAATTACTTGTCCTATTTCCTATTTCGCAGAATTGGTAGTGTAGTTTATAAAAAAACCTATTAGGCAGAAACCTGTCGTTGGAAGTGAAGAAATTGAAATTACCGTAATTGGCACTTTTGTAAAAAATTCATATATCTATAAGTTATCGTAAAATAAAACAAAGAACTACTTCTTCGTTTTTCTTGATAGAATAATAAATACATATTAATAAATATTATTTATTAAACTATTGTAGGTCAATTAAATAAAAGTAAACTGGTATAGATTTAAATAAAGTCTATAAACTAATGTCGATTTTGAAAATAGTTACTGTCACTAGAAAATTGCCATGGCGATACAATGATAAATGGTGTGTTTCAAAAAAGTCTGATCGAGAATTTTAAATTTTTCATATCTCCAATTTTACATTTTTTAAGCTCACTGTATATTAAAATTTATATTTCGCAACTTCAATCATATTTAAATAACAAGCAAAAAAAATTACGAAGAATGACTTTTTTTCGAAAAATCGAAAATAAACAAGTTTACAAGTAGTATAGTTAAGACAATCCGTGGACACACTGTATATTAGGGTTTCCTGGGAAATTAAAACAACTTTCGTTGCACGTCATCAATGACACCATGCGTCGTCTTATGGAGTTTGCTGGTGGTCATATTATGATGTGCAACCAAAGTTATTTTAATTTCCCCATACCTATTTAGCGCAGATTTTGAATAAAGAGCAATTTTTCAATAAAATGGCAACAAATAGGGCTAGTGTCGTCATGGCAACTTTCTAGTGACAGTTAGTGGCTATTTTCAAAATCGAAATTAGTTTATGGACTTTATTTCAATTTATACAAGTTTACTTTTATTTAATTTACCCCTACAATTGTTTATTAAATAATATTTATTAAATATATATTTATTATTCTATCAAGAAAAAAGAAGTTGTTCTTTGATTTATTTTACGATGACTTGTAGATATATGGATTTTTTATAAAAGAGAGAATTACAGCAAATCCATTTTCTTCACTTCCATCGACAGATTTATGCCTAATAGGTTTTTATAAACCACACTACCAGCTCTGCGAAATAGGACAAGTACTTTTTCAAAGGAACACTTATCATGAAGATTCCTATTTAGATATCTTTGAGCATAAACCCTTGAGGCCAGGAAGAAATTTTTCTCACAAAATAAAATCACTAGTAACATATCCATTCGTTCCGCCAGCAAATACTGCTTTATTTTTCTTGATAAAATAATGAATACTTACTTATTAAACTATTGTAGGTAAATTTAAGTAAACTGTTATAAAACTAAATAATAATGTCCATAAACTAATGTAGATTTTGAAAATTGTTACTACCACTAGAAAATTGCTACCATTATTATCATTTTATTGAAACATCGCTTTTTTTCAAAATTTAAGCTGTATGGGTATAGGAAACCCTAATATAGTTTGAAAGAGCATTTGAATCTGCTTCGATTTATTTAAAAAAATTATTTAAAAAAATACAGGGTATTGCATTTGAAATAACAAAGTTTTTATATAAAATAAATCCTTAAAATATATCAGCAATTTTTCGTACCACTGTATAAATTTAACGAAGCAATAGCATTTTTCAGTAAAGTTTATTTCTCTAGCTTTAAACTCAGCACAGAATTAATTCTGGAAAAGTAATGTACAGGGTGTCCCACTAAGAATAGCCCTCGGCTGTATCTCGGAAAGTATTAGCCGTAGCGACTGTGGAAAAAAATATTTATAACTAAAGAGGCTATGGGAAATTGCTGGAAATTATTTTCAAGTTTGTAGAACGATCGCTAGGGGGCGCAACTGCAACAAAAAATAAGAAAATGAAGTTTTTACACAATTTTGCCTAGATAAGGTGTACTACAAGTAACAGCTTCATAATCTTCAGTAAATTTTGAATATTTTTTGTTAGAACCATTTTCGCCTATCTACCAAAATAAAGAGGTGGGGGAAGGTTAGATCTGTTTTTATTTGAATATTAATAACTCTGGACTGGGTAATCGGAATCCAACAAGCGAGGGCTCGTTTAAAAGAGCGTTTCTTACTCTATATTGTACCTTATAAACAATAATAATAAGCTTTTGAACGTAGACGCTAGGGGGCGTTGTCTTACAATTTAACAAATATTGCGCGTTTTTTCAAAAAAATTAAATGCAATAGTATATGTAATTTTAGCTGATAGTAAAGAGTAGTAAAAGCTTAAAAAGTCAGCGAAAACCGCATCTTGATATCTTCTTTCAAACCGAAGATATTAGCAAAATTATAATAAATACCAAAAAATAAGCCCTTAATTACCTTACTTTTTACAACACGGAGCCAGTAGCCCTCATTTCTATTCTAAAAATAAAGATAGAACAGTTAGTTTGTTTTAAAATCGACGATACCAGAATCGTCATAATATATCAGATGGTTAATATCTTTTTAAGATATTAATATATAGTGAACAAGCGACGATGATTCAGTGAAGTCATGGTAGGCTTTGAAAAATGCTGCTTTTCACGCCAGTAAAAACAGCATAGATCAACATTTTGATAGTTTTAGCAGCGTTTTTTATCTTTTGATTGCTTTTTCAAAATGCCAACAACTTCAACTACTTCAAATAATATAGGCATTTTGAAAAAGCATTTACAAGATAAAAAAACGCTGCCAAGACTATCCAAATGTTGATCTAATAACAATTTGACGTTTATACTATTACGCGAAAAGCAACTTTTTTCCAAAGCCTACCATGACTTCACTGAATCATCGTTTCTTGTTCACTATTATTAATATCTTAATTATTAGATATTAATACATCTGATATTATGGTATTCTGGTATTTCGTCGATTTTAAAATAAACTAACTGTCTCTATCTTATTTTTTTGTTAGAATGGGCCTAATCAAGAGGGCTACTGATACTGTATTGTAAAAATAAGGCAATTAAGGGCTATTTTTTGGTATTTATTATAATTTTGCTAATATCTTCGGTTTGAAAGAAGATATCAAGATACGGTTTTCGCTGACTTTTTAAACTTTTACTACTCTTTACTACCAGCTAAAATAACACATACTATCGTATTTAATTTGTTTGAAAAAACGCGCTATGTTTGTTAAATTGTAAGAAAGCGCCCCCTAGCGGCTACGTTTAAAACATTATTATTATTATTATGGTATAATATAGAGTAAGAAACGCTCTTTTAAACGAGCCCTCGTTCGTTGGATTCTGATCATCCAGTCCGGAGTTATTAATATTTAAATAAAGACAGATCTAACCTTCCCCCACCACTTTAATTTAGCAGATAATGGTTAGGGAAAATGGTTCTAACAAAAAAAATCCACAATTTACTGAAGATTATGAAACTATTATTTATAGTACCCATTATCTAGGCAAAATTCTGTAAAAAATATATTTTCTTATTTTCCATAGCAGTTGCGCCACCTAGCGGCCGTTTTACAAACTTAAAAATAATTTCCAGCAATTTCTCATAACCCCTTTAGTTATAAATATTTTCTTTTGTAAGCCCTACAGCTAATATTTTCCGAGATACAGCCGAGAGCTATTCTTAGTGGGACACCCGGTACACAGGGTTAATAATCTATTCTGATGTAGCATGCATATTTAAATATATTCAAATTTCTCAAAAATCAAATATTTTAAACATATATTATATGTATATATTATAATAAATGCCTTTTTTGGGCCCAAGAATCCAAAAATGAAACAAAATATCGGATGTTTCATAAGAAAAAGTATAACTTTGGTATGGATCTTAGTTCTGAAACACCCTGTATATTTCAAAATAATTTTAAATTGTACACATATTATAACCATAAAAATTTTTATTTCTACATCTTTCCGTTTTCATATAATCAACCGAGGCGAATGAGGTGCGCCACCCTGTATACAAAATTCTAATAATGAAAGACAATATTTATTACAAGTATGTACTTAGAGGTCTATGACCTAAAGTAAACTAATTCTTTCATAGTGTGCCATGACATAATTAAATGTAAATGTATTAAAACCATATAAAATCATTCTGAAAGTTCGTAATCTTTAATCTAAATCAAATGAACTGGAATTTATATACTTACAAGAGGGATGTAATGTAGGTGAATGGTTAACTAAAACTGACCATCTGCCCAAAACTTCCTTAGTTTTATGTAGAGAATTTGTAGTTCTTCTTTATCCATGCAGTTTTGTGCAACTACCATCATATCCTAAACAACCGTACCATGACTTATTGTTTTATTAGTTAACTTCTAAAACTTACCTTTAATTTCTGCTTCCGTACTTCTTCATTTTTCTTCTCAATAAGCATGTTTTTACAAAAATATTTTTTTAAATGAATTAAATCTAAAGTATTGCTTCGTAATGAGATTGTTTTTGAAGATTTATCATATGATATGTGATGTTTCTGAGTACCAGTGGAAAATTTTAAAACAAAAAGATTGTTAGTTTGTTTTCCGAGTTCAGAAAATAATTCAATATCCATTTTATGATAGCAGTTTTTAATAAAATAGTTTGCAAATTCTTTACTATCCATTTTAGTTGAAAATGTATATTCGCCAAATAATGGTTTTTGAATATCACAAATATTCGAAGCTCTGTTATAATTACCTGTAACTTGTAACAATTGTTTATTTTTGTTAGTTGTTCTAGAGCTTTTATTATTTATCATTTCAAAATGATAAGACACATCTATATGAATAGAATCTAGTAAGACAGAAATACAGTTTTGATTAGTTTGTACATTTAACTGAACGGATACTTCAATATCAATAATATTTGCATTGACAGGTAAAACATCAATGATTGGCATCGTAGAAGTCTTTGCCCTAATTGTTTTACACAAATAGATTTGGTGGTTTTTAGCTGAAATTGTCAGAAACCAATCTAAATTTTGAAGATGTTTTTCCAAAGCATTCGGAATATAAATTTCAATCAAATAAAATTTACAATTCTGACAATGAAGAAATCTGGACAATCGGCGTTTATTTCATCACTATAAAGATGAAATAATTGTACAATATCATTAAAGATTTTAACACTTAAATGAGTTATCTTTTGAGACAGATTAGACACAACTTTGGACAATTTTGAAAAAATGATTCTGTTTTCCTCCGACTGGATTTCCTGCTGAAGACTCTTTGTATTCTGATGTTCACGTTGAATTTCCTTAATAATATTTTCATACTTTAAAAGCTGAGCAGCTGTTAATATTTCCATTCTAAAAAAGGTAAATAAACTTAATTAACCTCAACTCGAGAAAAATGTTTATTTTACTAGTAGAGTTGCAAACAATGATTGTACTTACGTTTTAACAATAAGAAATAAAACCAGAGTACAATTTCTTCAAGACACTTTTGCTACTTGAATCAATTAATTTAAAGAATTTCGGTTTTCTTCGGACAAAGAATTTGAATTGCTCATCATATGCAACAAATGAAGGCAATCGGAGGAATCTACTTTACCGGCATCTCTCATTTGAATTACGGCGCCCAGCAAAAGTTTGTGCGTGTTGCTCAATTGTTCGGAAATGCTTTTTTCGGTGTGAAATTTTTTCTCTATTTCGTGAAGTTGTAGTGTAACATCGTTTCTGAAAATTAAAAATAATAATAATACTATATTAATATAGGTAAATACAGGGTTTTTCAAACAACTTGTTCGTTAATATATTTAGGATCTCATCAGTCTCTAGGCAAAATGGTTTTATTACTGCAAAGCCGAGGTAGGTAGCTACTTTCCTTTTAAAAATATTTTCCATTTCGATTTATTGGAACTTTCAGTTTAACCGGAAGTGTGTGATATTTTTTCAGATAATTTAAACATATTTTACTTACCTATATACCACTTATTTTTTGCATTGGTCGATTTAAGTAGCTCTGTAAAATGCTATTTTTAATATAAATCCGAAAATATTTGAAAATGTTATTCTGCGGTATAACATTATACACATAATGTTTTATAGTTATAATTTTATATACAGTATGTCCCCGGATTGTCTTTACAAGTGGAAAAACTTATTTATTATTAGTCGGCGATGGCTATGAAATGAAGATCGCTGTCATTTTACATGTAAAATTATATGGGGAATGTATCGATGTTCATTTCCAAACCAGCTGGACGACGTTTTTTTTTCAATCATACGGTATAAATAGTAAACTTATATAAAAATCTGTAACTAGATAAATTTGATGTCAATTTATTCTTTCAGTTCATGCCATAAGAGATAGATAGCGCGATGGTCTAGTTGTTGTTTCGAATATTTGCCTGCTATTTTTTAAGTATTAATTTCATGACTGACTCGAGTCGACGACGGTCCCGTCCTTTGTAGCGATTCCAAACCACACCTCACACCTGGTATTGGAAAAAAGGGAATGTTTTGACAGTAGCCGTTTCTCCCTTTCAAAAAAGAAAAAGGGCCCAAATCATCAATGAAAATAAATACTCTACGATTAGTGTCTAGCAAAGAGAAACTAATAACTAAAGTGAGAGGGCTTGTGGAATAGGGCATTTCGTAGCAGTGTTCCCAACTCTCAAAAATTTATCTCCCAAAAAATCTAAACACTCGCATCAAAAATCCCCAAAATATCCCGAAAAAACCCTAAAATATAAATAATAATAAATAAACAATTTGTTGTGTTTTAAGTGGTTGACCTTGAAACGTCTGATCACAGCAATGTAGCCAACTGTTCGAAACTTTCCATTAAAGCAATATCAAACCTTAAATCCAAACAACTAAAATCCCCACAACTGTTCTCCAAGATTCGGTGATTAAAATAAATAAATTATTTTGTTTTATTGATACTTTCCTATTAATTTTCAAAAATAGCAGTAGCGGTCTTATCTCCTCTTTGGTAGCGGTAAAATTCCATTGAAATTTTATCCCTAAAAATATCCCCAAAAAATTTTACTCCCTAAAAAAATCCCCATATAGATTTTTTCTCCCCAAATTTAGGGATAAAATCCCGGAGTTGGTAACACTGTTTCGTAGACAAGTTTATTTTGTCACCGCGCATCCCAGACGCGCATAGCGTTTAGGCTAGGCGGTCAAAAACGGAAGTTTTCAACATTGCAAGTTAAACATTTGACAGGATTAATTAGATTGTCAGTAGCTTTTTCTATTTCTTAGTTCTAGAAGGAGTTTTCCCTCCCATGGTCTACCATCGACCATAGACTTTGGACTTTCTCAAAACGTAACATCCCACATGTCAGTTTCAGTGCATGATGAGCTTAGTTCTGACCACTCCCCGGTGTTCTTTACACTCACTAATACTCACACGATCTCCACTCACAAAACACGTAAAACCACCAACTGGCAAAAATTTGCCAAAACTCTCCAAGAACATCCGCCCACCCTACAGCGCATCGCGGACGCCGCCTCGCTCGAGGCGGCCGTCACCACCTTCACTTCAGCCATAACCCAAGCCATAGAACATAGCACTTCAACAGTGCCAAATAATCCAAATAACCCTTTTCTAGCCCCCCCTCACATCCGAGCCCTCATTCGCGAGAAAAATTGGCTCAAACGCCAGTATCGTGCCCTTCTCGACCCCAATCTAAAGCGACAGATTAACAGTCTGTTGCGCGAGATTAGGAAAGAGCTCAAACTTTTCAGAGATGAAAGGTGGGAGAGCTTCCTATCTACGCTTGAGGACGATAAAAAGTCGCTTTGGAAGGTTCAAAAGCGAATGAGAAACACCAACTCACGCTACGTCCCCCCAATTCACGGCCTGAACGGAGTGGTCTATTCCGAGAGGCGAAGGCAGAGGCCTTTGCCGACTCGTTAGAACGCCAATTCCGTCCAAACCGAAATCCCGACGACGACATCGATTTCGATGAAGTTGTAGAAGAATTCTACGAAAGCTTCGTAGCCCCCATTCCCCCTCTCGAGGCCCCTATCCCCCCAGCAACTCCTAAAGAAATATCGGCCATCATCTCCACACTGCGCAGCAGAAAAGTCCCAGGTCACGACCAAGTAACAACATCGCACTGAAACACCTCCCCGAGGTTCTTATAACCCAATTTACCACCATCATTAATCTGATAATGTCCCTCAGATATTTTCCAAACGTTTGGAAACTAGCCATAATTATTCTAATCCCAAAGCCAAATAAGAACCTCACTTTCCCAGAAAACTGGCGCCCCATCAGCCTCCTCTCCTTCCTCTCGAAACTGGCTGAGAAGGTTATACTCTCTAGAATTAACGACTTCCTGGCTAGTGCCGAGATCATCCCTCAGGAGCAGTTCGGATTTAGCCAATCCCTCTCCTGCGAACAGCAAGTCGCACGCGTGGTGGAATATGTTACGCAGGGTCTAAACGCCAAGCGAGGTACTGGTCTTGTCATGTTTGACATCGAGAAGGCCTTTGACAAGGTTTGGCACGAAGGCCTTGTGTTCAAACTTCACCACGTTTTTCACTTTCCCCAACAGACCACTCTCATCATTAAATCCTTTCTTGTCGATAGGAGATTCCAGGTCCGCATCGGAGACTCTCTTTCCACTCCTCGTGCTATAGAGGCGGGGGGCCGCAGGGCTCTGTCCTGTCGCCCACACTCTGTAATACCTTCACATCCGATATCCCCAAATCCCTGGAGACTCGTCTTGCGTTATTCGCAGACGACACCTGTCTCTACTCCACTGCCTCGAGCAATGGAATTCAGAGCAGGCTCCAACCCTACATCGCCCAGCTGCTTGATTGGTTTTCCCACTGGAAAATCAAAATCAATGCAGCAAAACCCAAACCTTGTTCGTCTCCGGACGAATGAGGCTCCCACTACCTCCTCCTCTAGCCATAGACGACGAAGAGATCCCTTGGGGGGAAACCGCCAAGTATCTCGGAGTCACACTAGACCGACGGCTATCCTGGATCCCTCATATCGACAAGAAAATTTCTGGTGCCCGTGCCACTTATGCTAGTCTTCATGGCCTCCTCAGCAAAAAGAGCACCCTCTCCCTCTCAAATAAAGTCCTACTGTTCAGAACAGTCATTCGCCCTCAGCTCCTCTATGCAGCCCCAGTATGGTGTAGAGCCTCTGACAGCCAAACAGACTCCACAGACTCCAAGTTTGTGAAAACAAAATCCTCCGCTATATCACCAGAGCTCCCTGGTATATACGCAACTCTGACATCCGTACCGACCTCCGCATCGACCCCATCCCCAAACACCTTCGAGATCGTGCCTTGAAGTTCTACGAGAAAATCGGTACTATCCCCAATAGTACCCTAAAAATATTCGATTACATTCCCGAGGACTATAGAAACTTCAAATACTCCCATCTTAAAACCATTCTTCTAGACAATTAATTTTGTCCCCCCCCCCTTCTCATAATATAGTCCTCCCATCACCCCACAACCCCCCCCCCTTTTTTTTTTCTTCCTCACATATTAGCAGGAATAATAGCTACCATTCTTCTGCGGCTGATTCCTCGGAGGTGGACTTTTTTTAGTGGGTATCTTATTTCTAGGACCGTCTCTCTCGAGATGGTTATGGACATGATCACTATTCGTCTATAAAAGATTTTTCAACCACCCAAAAAAAAAATAAATAACTAAAATCTGTTGATAATCGGAGCAAATCGGAGTAATAAATTGTTTTTAACCGAATGTGCCTGTTCTTTTAGCTTGTCAGAAGAGAAGATTATTGTCATTATTGATTATTTCAGATTCCACGATTAGTCGGCGTTTTTGTAATTTTTGTTTTGTGGTTGAGACCCAGACAAAACGTTTCCTTTAAAGGAAATTTTATCTCGGTAATTATTTTAACATACCTAATAGTAATAGTGAGTGCACATAATAATCGTACATTGCTAATTTAATTTTTTTAATTTAAAACATCACATTCTTTTCTGATACCTACGGAACGACTAGGTATTATACCTGGTATTATTTCCAGTAATACAAATTATTTTCTTCAACTGCTAGGTTCTTGTTATAGAATAAAGACTATCAAAAACATTGAATACCTACGGGATACCTACTGATACTCTGTCCGAGCTCCCAACCGTGCTTCCCTGTTCACTCCCAACCAAGTTAGATAAAAAATATACTGAACATTGCAGCCTTGAGTTGGAGTATGGCAAGGAGTATGGAGTTAAATAAATTATTATGTTCCTACACAGTATTTTATTTATAGGTTTTAATGCTTTAAAGTCTAATAATAAATTTTCGCTGGCAACAAAATAATCTAAAAAAACTAGGAAGATTTCTTATTATAAACTTTAAAGATTAAGATTGGGTTCAAAATTACAAATTTTAAATTTTTGGCGCCAGTATATAGGTATGAATGCAACCTACTATATCGATAATGCGCTCATAGTTCGGGTTAGACGCCAAAGGCCGCGCCAGTAACACAGTCTTCAAAAATTAACGTTGATCGGTCTCTCTCACTTTAGTTATTAGTGTTCTCTCTGGTGTCTAGCCCTAGCAGGCAACTATTAAGCCCGGCCAATCACGTTAGAGTTTTTGACAAACACAAATGAATTAACACACTTCAAATAACCACGCTAACCAACCCGATTGGTCAAGCTTAAAAGTTGACTGCTAGGGCTAGACACTTCTTATTCTACCATTCTACGGGTAGGGGTAGGGACATGG